CTCACACCCCGTCCCCACACTCACCATGCCCCCCCCCCCCCCTCTCTCCATGCCCCGCGACTATATCATCCCTCGTCACAACCACCTCTGAGACACACTTAAGCGTTTGTGCTTTCGCTACGTTGTCCCCACCTGAAGAAGGACGCTTGTGTTGCGCCCGAAACGTCGTGATTTAATATTGTTTTCATTTATTTTATTTATTTTTTACCTACGTGACTTTACCGAAAAAACCAAAGAGTATGGCCAAACAACCTCCCGTCATCACAAGGGCGCGGGGATACGTTCACCCATCGGTGGGTTCCGCAGAGAGCTGTAATCATGATTTTCGGAATAATTCCGCTCGGCTGAGACGTCCCGATCTTGTTTGACATCTCAGCGAGGGTAATCGCACTGCGTGCAAGGCTGTGTAAGCGTGCGTGTGGCACAGGGAGGGCGGCACAGGCGGCGCATCTGCCAGTCATCCCAGTCAGTCAACCCATGGCACCCTGGGTATGTCCCGTGACTTCCCACCAGCAGCCAGCCTTCGACAGTTCACGTGGCCTTCAAGGTGCACCTATCATGGCACAATCGTCGCTGTGGCGTCAAAGCCACTTAGTGGCGAACGGCGGTTATATATATACACACATACACACGAGTATTTGGGGAGCGGTGGTGTGGCGGTTAGCACACAGCGCTACGATCCGAGTTCAATTCCCGCTCAATAACAGTGGCGACTATATGAACCGGTCCCGGGCCTCCACGAGGTGGACTCAGCCTTAACTTAGCACCTGGTGCGGTGTGTAACCATCAGCACTGGGGAGGCAAAGGCGGCCGGGCGTGGAGCTGGTCACCCAATACATCTCGTGCCGTGGCAGTCTTAATAGCTGCTCGCTAACAATCACTTTCACAAACCAAGTCTGTTAAAGGTTACACGGTGAGATATTTGTATTGGTAATGTGTAGAAGGTGTACGTGTGTGTGAGTTTGGTACGTGAGGTAGACCACCTGCGTATTGTTGGAATTCACGCGCGCAGGGGGAATCTGTTTACACCTGGAGTTTACACCTGGAGTTTACACCTGAAGTTCACAGGCCGCGTGTGTAGCGATGTGCGGAGAGCGGTGGTGCAGCGGTTAGCGCGCTGCTATACGAACCCGGGCAACTCGAGTTCGATTCGCGCTCACGGCCACCACCACTGATGAGTATCTGAACCGGTCCTGTGCCTCCCCTAGGTCGACGCAGCCTCAAATGGGCACAGTACCTGGTGCGATGTGTAAACGTCAACGCTCTCTTTGTTTAACTATTTTTATTCGACCAGGTAAGGCCCACTGAGCTCTTTTTCAGAAGTCACCTGGCCACAAACTGATAGCTCAACGAAGTGGCTTATCACGTGGAAATGTATTGCAGCCAAATAATAGAAACGCATTCTGATTCTAACTGTGGAGGGAAAAACCGGAGGACCCGGAGAAAAATCCCCGCGACCACGGGGAGAACACGCAGACTCCAAATGTGCAGGTGTCAGGTTGGGATCGAACACACGATCTCCTGCATACTAGGCGAGGCATTTAACGTCTCGCCACCGTCACTAGGGAGACACAGGCGGCGTGGTGCTGGCCATCAACCCCATCGTGTGCTGTGCCGGCCTTCATAGGCGCTGCTGCTCGCTAACAGCACTTGCCCCAACAGTCCGTAGAGGCTATACGGGAGATCTTTGTGTGTGTGTGTGCGCAAATGCGTTTCGTCCATCGGCTCTCGTCCAGCATCCTCGACTCTTGCAGGCGGGCAGGCAGAGCATGGGAGTCCGCGATTCGAATTCTCGCTCTCTGTACGGAACCGCTTCCACGCAGCTGCTGCTCCTGCAGCAGCAGCAGCTGCGCGAAGCGATTGTGGCTCCTTGTGTACTGAGAGAGGAAGGCAGCTCGGAGCTTCGTGGGGGGTCGAGGGGGGCTGGGCTGATGTACCGAGCTGAGAGGCTGCTAGCAAGTAAAGCCACAGCAGCGGCAGCAGTGGATTTGCGGGGGGGGGGGGGGGGTGCACGTCTTATTATCGCGTTTGTTTCCTGGTTGTTTTTGTTACCAGACATCTGTGAAAAAAGAGCTTTACAGCTCATCGGATTCCTTAGGTATGAATACAAAAGAAAACCCCGTATTTCTGTCCTTCCCTCCGCACCTGCGATTGGCACGGTGGGGCTTTGCGTACGGCGAGAAAGAAGTTCAACACGACGTGCTTTTATTTACCCAGAAAAGCGTCACTGAGCGCCCCCCCCCCCCGTGCCTAGTCTCCAGAGGGGTCCCCCGTCAATTTGTCCTTGGGTGTTGATTGCTCCGCGTGCGCGAAGTAATCCCAGTCGAGTGACTTTGCGAGTTATTTACATTTTGGACGCGTCACGCCGGCTCACGACGTTCCTGCGACTCTAGCGACCGACACCATGGGACCTGAGGACGGCCGCGAGCATCGTGGTCTCACCCCCAGCCACCAACCCACCCCAGTGCCGGGTTCAGTTCGTGCGGGGGCCTGGGGCATATGTTGTTGTTGTTGTTGTGGTAAAGGGGCTCTAAATGAAAATACGTAAACATTAAAACACCCTTTTTTTTACTTGCACAGTAAAGTAATTGTATTTTTTCATTTGCTATACAGCCAGGTAATACGACAATTCGCTAACCTTAAACACCCAGTCGTTCGTAAAAGTTGAAGGCGGTATAGTACTATAGTAATAGAGCAAGTGCAGAATCACTGAACCGGAATTGATAGCTTGAAAGCATTTAGCGCGGGGTCCATGAAAGTGCGGGGCCCGTAGCAAGTGCAGGTACTTGTGTAGCTACTACACACGTGTAGCTACTTGTGTAGCTACTACACGTAGCTACTACTACACGTGTGTAGTAGCTACGTGTGTAGTAGCTACACATGTGTAGCTACTTGTGTAGCTACTACATATGTAGCTACTACTTGTGTAGCTACTACACACGTGTAGCTACTACACATGTAGTGTGTGGATGTGTAAATATCGCCACTGGGGAGACAAAGGCGGCCGGGCGTGGTGCTGCTCCCCCATCCCCTCGTGTGCCGTGCCGGCCTTCATAGGTGCTCACTAACAACACTTGCCCCAACAGTCTGTTAAGGCTGTACGGGGGATCTTTGTCTTTGTGTCTGTACATAGATGCACACAGGTTCCAAGCAAGAACATCTGCTGCACTATATAGTGACCGAATAGCGAATCCGGGCCCATATCCTTGACACCAACACCTACCCTAGTGATCTCCCAACTGACCGTGATGTCGTCTGGCTCCTACACTCTTTAACATCACTGTTTAACGTCTCATTTGACCACAAATATACCGGTGGAGTCGTCCATATGACACTGACACAATGGGGGCTGATTAATGCACGGGTGCAGTCACGGGATGGCTCCCTATTGGTCAATGGTGTGTAATGCTGATGATCTGGTAATTGCTGCCCACTCCGATAAGTCATTGGAGGACTCGAGTACTGAAACCTGGAGCTTGCTATCAAGTGATGGTGGTTTTACCATCAACCCTACAAACACAAAGCACTTACCTGGGCATTACGTTGTGTCACCAAATACCTGTCCAACTCAACTCTCCATTCGTGATTGGGCAGTTGTGGAAGAGAATTGAGAAGTCTCCGTACCTGGATCGTGCGCTTATGACCAGATCCGGTTTGGCAGCAGAGGTCTCACTCCAAAGCAGTCGAGCGGCATTATTTTTCCATCAGCTGCGTAACGCTGCGTGGAAGCTACCTGGCCTATCGCACCGTATGAAACTCCGATAATTGTCGGCCACAATTATGCCCTCCCTTCTCTATGCCTGTTAAACGTGAACCCCCTTTTAAGGAACATCTGCCCCGGTTTGTAACATTAAGGCTGGCCTGCCTACGATCCATCCTGGGTGTAATCAGATTATATTGTGCGAGGAGCTCAAATCCTTGACAGATCTGGACGCAGTCCCCATCATCAGTGAGCTTCGGCAGGCGAGGTTGCGTTGGCTGCGTCACGTAGCCCGCATGCCCAAGCAGCTTCTGTTTGGCCGGATAGAGGGGGGATACATGGGCGCGGCACGGGCTGGAGAGGAGATGGGCTGATGCTGTACGGGAGGATGTGGAACTAAGTGGACTTGCTAATGACCGGTACCAGCGGTGTCATGATCGGCCTCTGCGGAGGAGGTTCGTGAAGGACGCTGCTACTGGGCAAGTTGGAGGCAGTCGCCCTCCAACAACAGCAAGGGGCAGAGAAGCGAGGGGCAGAGAAACGACGCTCACAACAACGAGCGGAGTGCCGGGCGCATAAAACACGGCAAGTTGGGAGGGTGGGGAGCACAGTTGGTGCATCTGCGAGTCATCTCAGTAAGCCAACTCATAACACCTGGATCTATCCCGTGACCTCCAGCCAGCGAGCCTTCCACGCTTTTCACGTGGCCTTAAGGGTGCACCTAGCCTGGCACAAGCCCCGTGGCGACGTCACCGCCACTTGGTCGCGAATGGCGGTCCCTGTTGTTGGTGAGCGTGCACAGCGCGCGTGTGTGTGTATGGATGTGTGTGTGTGTAAGGGATGTGTGGGCGCGCGTGCGTGGATGTGTGCGCGCGCGCGTATGTGTGCATGTGTGTGTTGTGGATGTGTGTGTGGATGTGTGTGCGTGTGGATGTGTGTGTGTAAGGGATGTGTGGGCGCGCGTGTGTGGATGTGTGGGCGCGCGTGCGTGGATGTGTGTGGATGTGTGTACGTGTGGCTGTATGTGTGTGGATGTGTGTGCATGTGTGTGTGTATGTGTGGATGTGTGTGTGATGGGATGTGCTGTTGGCGGGTGGCTGGGTGGTTCAGAAGGCAGCGAGGGAGGAGGGAATGGCGACGGGCGAGTGTGCTAAGCTTAGGCCGGCGCCGGCTGGGTAAACACAGCTGTTGCCAGTTAGTCTGCAGATTCTTTTTTACCCTCTCCAACCCCCACCGCTCGCCAGGAGCAAGAGACCCCCCCCCCCTACCCGCCCTTCTCATCCCTTCCCCCCGCCCCTCTTCCCTGCCTTCCTCTCTCCCTCGATCCTGAAAAAAGTCTGCTGCTGCTCCTGCTGGCTTTGCAGTGGAGCGAGAGACGAACACACACACAGGCAGAGGAGAGTCCCCGCCTGCTCTTCCGTGCTGCCGCTTGCTCACGAGTTCCCACTGCTGCTGTGAGCTGCGATGGCAGTCGGGGATCATCGGGGACGCGACACAGAGCGGGGATGCACCTCATGACCGTGGACTCGCTACCCAACACTCACTCGCTATTCTTCTTCTTCTGCCACTCACTCGGTGACACTTTCATTCTCACGCTCGCTCGCTCGCTCCCTCCCTCGTTCGGCATCCCACTCGCTCATTCAATCCCTCAGTCATTCAGTTCCGCCGTATCGCTCGCGCGCTCTCACGCTCTCGTTCGCGCTCGCTCGCCCACGGCCACGCGCAATCTTCAACTCCTCGACCTGCGAGTTCGTCTCATCGCGCGCTCATTCACTCGCCCGGCCGCCCGTCTTCCCCGCCGGACTTCCAAGCCACTCACACAGACGGACGCGCGCGCGCACGTGCGCGCACTCGCTTGGGACTGTCAAGCCATGGTCGTGACCACACAGCACCGGCAGCGGTGGTGACGTCGTCGAGCCTCGACTCAAAATCCACCGACGGTCGCGACAGGCGCCTCCGCGCAAGGTCGCGCGCCGGGGTGCGACTTTTTGTTGCTGTTTTTGTTGCCGCGCGCGAGTTCGCCGCGGCTCCCGCATCGTTTGCGCTGCCGCCAACCCCGGGCGGAGACCATGAACAGGATGCGGGACATCGCCGCCGAGGGTCCCAGGTCGCTGGGGCCGGCGAGGAAGGCGAAGACGCCCCGAAAGTCGAGCAAGCCGACCAGGTACCCTCCCCCGGCGCCGGGCTCCCTGGCGTCGAGCACGGGATCCCCGCCGGGCAGTCCCCTCGACAGCAGCGAGACGGAGGAGCCCGGGGAGCCTCGGCGGACCCCGACGGGGCACGCCGAGTTGCCCCACGCGTTCCGCCCCACGCCCAGCTACGTGGTGGCTGCCGCCGGCGTCGTCGGCGGTGGTGGCGTCGGTGCCTGCTCCTCGTCGCGTCTGGAGGAGATGAAGCCCGACCATCCGCTCGGCGCCTTCTACCCCAGCCAGTTCCTCTGGGGTCTTGCCGCCTCGGCCGAGGCGTCCGCCCTAGGCAGGGCGGCCACGGTGAACGTGATCCGAGGCCCCAAGGTGGCCGTGGTGCCCTCCTCCTCCTCCTCGGCGTTCGACGCGAGCACGGGGACGAGTAGCGGCGGCAGTGGCGACGAGTGCTCGCTCTCGCCGGCCTCAGTGGGTGGGAAGAGGAGGCACCACCACCACCTGCAGCTGCAGCAGCTGCAGCTGCAGCAGCATCTGCACCACCACCACCTACATCATGCACTGTCTTACGTGGACGAACGTCATCATCACCTCGCGCACCATCATCAGCAGCAGTATCATCAGCAGCAGCAACAGCAGCACCACCACCAGCAGCAAGAGCAGCATCATCATCAGCAGCAGCAACAGCAGCAACAACAGCAGCAGCAGCAGCACACATCACCGCTCCCTCCTTCCTCCAAGAGGGCCCGGTTCGGAGTCCTCGGAGCGCCAAGCGAGGAGGACAGCATGGACAGCGCCGGGACCGGGCAAGGGGCAGGCCCGAGGGCAGGGCCAGGGCCGGGGCAGGATGACGACGACGAGTCTGGCGGGGCAGCGTCGTTGCAGGGCTCGGACTCGAAGGTGGTGCAGCAGACGAGAAGGCTCCTCGCGAACGCACGAGAACGCACGCGCGTGCACACCATCAGCGCCGCTTTCGAAGCTCTTCGCCAGCAGGTGATTTGGTCGTCTCGGCGAGGTGGCAGCGATGGTCCGTGAGTGACCCCCCCCATCTCCCCTGCCACCCCCCCCCCCAGCTCCCCACCACGTGCTGAGCCGGCCTCACTAAATGACGGGCGGGGGAGGGGGGGCAGGAGTGGCGTGAGCAAAATCGGCTCACGGTCAAAGTGTCAGAGTGCGCTCGGGTCAGAGCGGTGTGTCAGGGTGAAAGTCCATAATGGGGGGAATTTGATCGCGTAAATATGAATGTGTCGTTAAACCCGGCCACCACCCGACATACCCGATTAGCAAGGGGTTGTCACGTAAACAAAACGTGCCAAGTAGTTGCGAGATCAGCACGCCGGTGTGTTGGAGAGTAAACCCGCAACAGCGTTTACAATTCGAGTAACGGCGTTTCGCCGATGACTACAAGCGGCCTCATTCAGCGACAGCCGGGATTGTGGAGAAAGCCTCCTGTCGTTGGCGTGTCTGCCGGCGCGTGCCAATGTTGCAGTGTCCGGAGTGTGGCAGTGCTCGTGCCAAAGAGTCAGTGAGTCAGAATGTCAAGGGTTTACAAGGGACAGGGAGTCAGCGTCGGTAAATATCAGTGTCAAAGTGTCAGGGCGTTTGTTTGAATTTTAGGGTGTCAGAGTGAAAGAGTGTCACTGTCTCCGAGTGTTCGTGTCAAAGTTTCAGTGTTAGTGTCAAAGTGGCAGTGCGTCAGAATGTTAGGGTGTCCGTAATAAGTGTCAAAGTGTCAATGTGTGAAAGCGAATCTCTTTAGAAATGCTTTTTGTGTTTAGTTTGTTGTCCTTCCCCCGCACCTCTGATTAGCACGGTTGGCTTCGTACGGTGCGAAAGAAGTTCAACATACAATGTGTCCGAGTGTTAGTGTCAAAGAGTCAGTGTATCAGTGTCGCAGTGTTAAAGTGTCGCAGTGTTAAAGTGTCAGTGTGTCAGAATATTAGTATCAGAGTGTCAGTGTTCGAATACTGTATCAACATGTCACAGTGTCTGAGTCAAGGGTCATAACGTCAGGGACAAACGGTCATGGCATCAGGGTTAACGTGTGAGAGTGTCAGCGGATCAGTGTCAGAATGTCCAGGCGTCAGAGTGTCGGGCTCAAAGTGTCACGGTCAAACTGTCAGAATGTGAAAGTGTCAGAGTGTCAGGGTCAAAGTGTCAGAGTGTCGGGGTCAAAGTGTCACGATCAAACTGTCAGAATGTGAAAGTGTCAGAGTGTCAGGATCAAAGTGTCAGAGTGTCGGGGTCAAAGTGTCACGGTCAAACTGTCAGAATGTGAAAGTGTCAGTGTCAGGGTCAAAGTGTCAGAGTGTCGGGGTCAAAGTGTCACGGTCAAACTGTCAGAATGTGAAGGTGCCAGAGTGTCAGGGTCAAAGTGTCACAGTGTCGGGGTCAAAGTGTCACGGTCAAACTGTCAGAATGTGAAGGTGCCACAGTGTCGGGGTCAAAGTGTCACAGTGTCGGGGTCAAAGTGTCACGGTTAAACTGTCAGAATGTGAAGGTGTCAGAGTGTCGGGGTCAAAGTGTCAGAGTGTCGGGGTCAAAGTGTCACGGTCAAACTGTCAGAATGTGAAAGTTTCAGGGTCAAAGTGTCAGAGTGTCGGGATCAAAGTGTCACGGTCAAACTGTCAGAATGTGAAGGTGCCAGAGTGTCGGGGTCAAAGTGTCACGGTCAAACTGTCAGAATGTGAAGGTGTCAGAGTGTCAGGGTCAAAGTGTCAGAGTGTCGGGGTCAAAGTGTCACGGTCAAACTGTCAGAATGTGAAGGTGTCAGAGTGTCAGGGTCAAAGTGTCAGAGTGTCGGGGTCAAAGTGTCACGGTCAAAGTATCAGATTGTCAGGGTCAAAGTGTCAGGACCAGAGTGTCATAATGTCAAGGTGTTAGTGTCGGGGTCAAAGTGTCACGGTCAAACTGTCAGAATGTGAAGGTGTCAGAGTGTCAGGGTCAAAGTGTCAGAGTATCCGAACCCTTCCTTAAATTCATTTTCCGGGTGCGATGCTCATCTCTGCCACAGCGGTGGGAATTCCCTCTTGTCATGGTGAGCCCGAGTCTGTGCATAGGACGCGTCGTTTCATTTGGGTACGCATGCAGCTGCAAAGGTTTTTCGTGGTTGTTTGCATAGCTCTCTGATGGTTGTTTGCATAGCTCTCTGATGCGTCCTCGAGTTATGCAGAACATGCTTCACCATTCTCCCTTTGACAAAAAAAAAATACAATATACAATAGAAATTGTTAAGCCCGTGGTGGAAATTCCACATATCTATGGCAAGCACCGGTCTTCCCATGATCAAACTGCTGTTGTCATCCACGAAGTTGTACGGCCTCACCAGGTGTTCATTATTTTAACCGCGCCGGGGAGGATGATGGTACTGATGATGGCATTGATTTGACCCAGACTGCGATTTCAAATCATACTCTCCTGCTTCGGAGACTTGCTGTTTCTATGATGTTATAGCGTCGTGAGCTGCAGCTGCATTTACACGAGACATGTCAATGTATATCCCATGCATTATGGTTGCAATATTCATTAATAATAACTTTTACTCTGAAAAGTAAATTTTAAAAAAACTAATTTGTATTGCTAAATCAGTCAAATAGTTTACACCTACTTGGGGCAATATTTATGACGAAGCTAAATAACAATAACACCATTAATCCACAGTATAATAGAACACAAATAAACCATGAAAGTTCCGTTAGTTACTTGCAACGTGCTGCACGCCAACACCAAATGTTGCCAATATCGTTCTCAACATCGTCATCATTAGCAGGGTAACGGTAGATTACATTAATTTAAATGATAACCAATACAAGCTGTCATTGTCATCATCATTAGCATCAGCGGTGGCAAGAGCATTGGTCACAAACCATTATCGACATTAATTGGCGCCGGTCACATAGAAGCATTTCATTTGTTAATCATCACAAGCTAAACACGATCATCTATCAATATCAGCATAACAATTAATGAGCATCGTTGTTACTTGTATTTGCTGTAACGTGACAAAAAAAAACCAAAAGCCTTATGAGTCGACGTCCTGGTTTAGCTAATTGGCCAATTCCCCTTCGAGTCTTTTTAACGTGCACGTGTGTGGGGGAGGGAGGGGAAGTCGGTGTGGCCGTAGATAACCCACGAATGCGATGCGAGAGCGATCAAAGTCTGCACGGATTGGTGAACATACCTACTTGCTGCACTGTCTCCGCACTGCCAAGCTTGCTTCGCCAGCAGGCGCGTCATTGGGGGGATCTGAGACAGCAGTCGATCCCATTGAAGTTCATTCTCAGCTTAAACTGAACACATTTTGTTTTTACCAGGGTAAGGCCCGCTGAGCTATGTAGGTCTTTTTCAGACAGCGCAACGAAGTGGCCTGTCACGTGGACATTTAAGGCAGCCAGATACTCTGAACGGATGTTTCTAAAGCGCCCATACCCCCCCCCCCCCTCTTGCGTGGCTGTATTTCTCACAGCCACGGACAATCACAAATAAATTCCATCAACAGCAGCAGCAGCATCTGGGACGTGTTGGCAATGCGGTTACCTGCCAATGGAAAATTACCAAACTGGCCTGAGTGAGAAAGGGAACGGGTGACTTCAACCGGCGCCACTCACCGATGAACCACCCAGGACACCTGAAACATCACGGTGCAGATGTCAGCCGGTTGTGACCCGCAGTGCATTACGTGAACGTCACGCGACACGGCCCTTTGTCAATCCGACTGCTGGATGAGCGTCTGCCCACACCCATGGGGGTCATGGGGGGGGGGGTTGTTTGTCCATACTTCACCACGCTGGTCAGTGTTGGGGGGTCTTTTTGTTGTTGTTTCATATTACACACGGGAAAGTCGGCTGAGATGGAGCGTCTCGTTTTGCCAGGGTGTCCCGGGTTTCACGCGGTTGAAATGTTGATCCTGGGGCGGGGGGGGGGGGGTGCTAAATTCACTCACCACTCATTGTAGGCCGTGGCCTGGATTCAAACTCAGGCCACCGGGTTTAAAGTGCAGAGTCCAAACTACTGCGCCACCACCACACTCGACATCATAAGAATATATATTTTAATCCAATAGCAAATTAGTGGTAAGTTACATTGTTTGCTTCCACATTCTTTGTTTGTTCAGCCCTACGACCTGAAGTTGTCATTTGTACACATTAACTAACGAGTCGTGCGTTTTTATTAAACGGAATCATTAAGCTGGGGTATATATATTTTTTTAAATCAACGTGACACCGGCACTGCATGCCTCCCGCTGCTACATTTGGCAAAACGGTGTCACAGCCTCAATCTCTCTCGCGTTGCCTTTGAAGCAATGCCCTGAGCCACCCGTGGGCGATGGTTTACCCTTACCGCACTTCTTCCCCCCGACCCCCAGAACGTTGGGAAGACGTTGGAGGAAACAGGTGCTCGGGCTCGCACAGACACGTGTTCCCTCCCAGCCACCTCGCTCGCTCGCTCGCCCGCTCACCCGCTCAGCAACGGGCACGCGTCTGGTTCACCTTTTTTTTTTACAAAAAGCACGTTGTTTTGGAATGATTCCCTATTTGTATTACGGAGCAGCCGTGTTTATTTTCGGACCGTGTTTTTGCTGGGGCCCTCCCTCCCTCCCTCTCTCTCTCCACCCCCCCTCCCCCCACCACCAGAGGCCACCGCTTGCTCGCAGGGGCGCGATTATAAAACTTACAGCGGTGGCAGCGTTCACGACGGCCTTCACTACAGCCACGTGTCCCCCTTGTTGTCAGCACTGGTGCTGCTGCACGGTAGCACCTCCTTGCAGCAGCAGCAGCAGCAGCAACAACGATGAAGTCGCAGTGGTGGTCAGGAATTCCCCCCCACCTCCGTGTGTGCAGCCACGGGGTGGCCGAAGGCGCGAGCGAGTCCGGCGCTGCATAGCAGCCGCTCGATTCGCTGGGTAACAAGATTTTTTTTTAAAAAAATCATCCAGTCCTTGTGGTGCGATTGTAGCCTTGGAAAGTCGTCGCGTCCACCGTTCTCAGGATAATAATAATAATAACAATCATCATAATTTCACGACAATGCCGACTCGGACGCGCGAGGAGGTGGTTGCCTACGTACGGTGCGAAAGAAGTTCAACGTGCACCTACGTACAAAGGCAGCAGCGACGCGCTCAGCGGTCGCTGCCAACAAATTGCCCGAGCGCTGCAGTCCGCGGTGTGTCGAGGTGTTTCGATGTGGGAGGAAACCGCGGCACCCGGAGGAACCCCCACGCGTGCGAGGGGGCAACACTCGATGTCGTCCACACGGATAAAGGCGCGGTCCACATTTTCCGCTGTACCGCGCGCTCGTTGCGAGCCGGCCTTCATAGGTGCTCGCTTAGCAGCGCTTGCCCCAACAGTCTGTTAAGGCTACGCGGGGGATCTTTGTCTTTGTTTGTTTGTGGAGCCACGGGTTCCCTAAAATGCAAGCGCAGAAGAAGATACGATTTGCAGTTGTTTGTGCGGAGCTCGAAAGCAGAAGTGAAAGTGTTACTCCTTACACGAATTGCCTTCATCTTTAACCAGATGACGACTCCTGCAACAACAACAACAATCATTGTTCCGTGGGGGTTGGTTTGAGAAGAGACGACAGCGGTGGTTTGTTTTTGTGAATTGTAACTCGACTCTACACACCCGGCCGGAGAAATGAATGCAAAGTGAATTTGAACTCCAATCTTCACAATAATACCATTAATCAGGAAGCCGTGAATAAAAAAAAAGTATTGGTCTTCACACGACAAATTTAGACGGGCGTAATGAAATGTTAAGGTTTACTCTTATTTTTAGATATTAATAAAGTGGCTATTAATCATGCGATTTAGATGCCACGATTCATCAGACACCTAAAAGACATGAATTTAATTCCAAACTTTTTAAAGACTCGTCTCATTTAAAATAATTAGAAAAATTGTCACACGCTCAGCATCTCCTTCCTCACGCAAACAGTGCCATGCGGCTGATCTCTCTCGATGAAGTGGAAATTCCACATTGCCATGATGGGGGTGAGTCCATCCTTAGAAGGCCACTGTAAACGTGTGGGTATCACAGTGTTGTACTAATTCATTATTTAAATTAATGGCCACAAGGTGGTACTCATTTTATAGACCATTGGAGGGATAGTCGCATGTCTCAAACTTGGGGTCTGTGAATGAGAATCAGAATATTGATTGATACTGGAGGAATCCGATGAGCTCTGAAGCTCTTGTTCACAGATGTCCAGGAGGAGCCGGTCAGAACGTTGAAACAAACAAGAGAGGTGGCAGTTCAGTAAAAATCCAACCACATTAATCATAATCCGGCCTATGTGTCACACCTGATGAGATACAGTGACTCGTTAACTGTGGTGCATGGACTCCACGCTATTGCATAACGTGGGTGGCGAGTGGTGTCTGAAACGTACAGGGGCCTTCCCCTCACTTTGACTCAGCCCAAAGTGAGAATGCGTGGCACCCTGGGATGTGATCACCATTAGCAGGGGAGACACAAAGATGTCGTCGGGAGTGTCGGCGTGGTCATAGGCAGACCACTCAACGGAACATAAAAATGGTGCTCGCTAATTAATGACATTTTCTCCCCCCACCCCCCCCCCCCCCCAATAATTTCATCTGGATGTTTGTAACGATGCGTATGTAGCGGTGGTGTAGCGGTTACGAACCCGGCGACCCGAGTTCGACTCCTGCTCACGGGCAAAAAAAAAAGTGATGATTATCTGAACTGGTCCTGGGGCTCACGTAGGTCGACTCAGCCTCAAATGAGTACCTGGTACGGTGTGCAAACATCGCCGCTGGGGAGATAAAGGCGACTGGGCGTGGTGTTGGCCACCCACCCCCTCGTGTGCCGTGTCTGCCTTTACAGGTGCTCGCTAACAGCGCTTGCCCCAACAGTCTGTTAAGGCTATACGGGGGATCTTTATCTATATATTTGTAAATACACGCATTATCATTGATTATGAAGTCTCTGACACATGGGGGGGGGGAGGGTGGACGATGCAGACTTCCTACGGATGCACTTCACACGGAAACGTGTTTGTTGAACAACCTCAAATTGCCAATTAATCCCCCACAACATGGATGTACGGGCAAGGCGATTTCTTTCATTGACAAAGTAGCGGTGTCTATGGGCGGCTATTTACGAATCAAACTAGCGGCGTTCCCACTAATTGTGTGCTCGGCTCGGCAAACTGTGGCTTTCTTTTAAAAGCCCTTCTTCGTCAACTCTGTGGAGGGCAACTCGAGACCTTTAGGTCCAATCCCAGGTCACCTTTCTTGGCGACCAATCTCTTTTGGTTTTACAACTCTGTCACAACACCGGATTTGCGAATGCCAGCCTAAGCGTCGGGCTCGTACCGCACAACTTTGAGTAACTGTTTGAAGAGCTCAAGTTTTACAAAGAGTCTCTTGTGAGAGGGATCAAGTATATAAATGGGTTTCCCCTGGTGGATCGGGATAGAATGAGCGATTGAGTGACTATGTTGGTGGACACAGGAGGATAGAGGATAAGTTGTGTTTATTTGTGGGAGCTGAATGTGAATTTTAAACAATAAGGTGCTATTGTGTGGCCCAGCCATAGGTCCCGAAGCAATTAAGGTTCGAGGGAGAGAGAGGAAGGACTCAAGATTCGGAACACCTTGAAGTAAAAGTCCCCCAATGCCAGCGGGCAGCGTGTTTCCCTGCGCTGCCTTCCAGGGATGCGTTTCCGACAAGCTGCTAAGCACGCAGCTGCTGACGCTCGCAGCGGAGAAGTGTGCACAGCTCAAATCCGAGTCAAATGGAATGAAAGCTGACACGTGCAAAAAAGCAAACGAAAGTGAACGCTCTTGTAAATGCACTGAGAGACACAGGGAGAAGCAAGCGTTGCTTGGCCAGAAGCCCGCCGCTCGTAGTGACGACGGCCGGTGGTCGAGACTAACGATGGAGCGGCGGACGAAGGAGGGAACGCGCCGCGGTTAGTACGCCCGCAGCGGAGACGTGGCGATGAGGTCAGCTGACGCGCGTGGGTCAGACGGGTCGGTGGACCGTGAGCCCGCGAGAGACGGAGGCGGCTGATGACCGCGCAACCGTGGCCTAAAATAACAACGACAATCACGGTGACGACGACTGTTCGAGGTAAAAATGTTCGTCCTCGATTATGATCCCCAGAAAGTTCACTCCCAGACGCGGCCGAATGCGAGCAAAGCGCCCGAAGCACGGCGCACCGCTCCGCCCCGCATCGGTCGTTCCACTCTGACGCCACGGCCGCGTGCGCGGGTAACCGAGCTGGCACTTGGCTCGGAGGGGCGCACGTGGCGGGGTGCTGGAGGGGGGTGGTGGGTTCCGTCCTCACTCCGCCTTCGTTTCCCACAGGTGCCGTGCTACTCGTACGGGCAGAAGCTCAGCAAGCTGGCCATCCTGCGCATCGCCTGCAGCTACATCCTGGCGCTGGCGAAGCTGGCCAACGAGGACTACAGTGGCGAGCCGGGCGGCCTGAGCTTCACCGAGTGTGTGGAGCAGTGCACGCGCACGCTGCAGGCCGAGGGCCGCGCCAAGAAGCGCAAGGTGAGACGCGCGCGGTGCCCCAACGCGGATGTTTGCCAAACCTCCCGACCCCCTCCATGCCTCCTCCACTCCTCCACCCCCCCTCCATCCCCCCCCTCCTTCCACCCCCCACTCCTCTACCCCCCTCCCCACCCACCGGTCCTCCGATCTGTGGTCGGTGGCGTCAAGATCTTAAAAAACAAAAGGTGAACTGGGGACAGGACAAAATTTAAGGTTTTATTTTGCAAAACCCCCGCATGAATCTGTGCTCGTGTTCAGCACTGAATGCGGTTGTGGATTCGCGCGCACGCAGAGCTCTATGTCACGGGCGCGGGGAGTTTACATAATCGATGAGCTTGTTCTTCGTGTGGTCTACGTCGACGCAGAGCGACAGCTGATAGTTTTACATCGAGCTGGTTGAGCCAGACGATTGCATCAGGTGTAGCGGAGTGGTGGACACACATCCCGGCTGTGGTGACGCCTCCTCCTCCTCCTTCGTGTTTGTGAATCGGGTATGGAGTGGTGATGCGGTCCACGGTTCTGCTCTGGGTGGTGAGCAGAGTCTCCACGCCGCCGGGGAGATTTCAATTTTCCACGCGCGCGCAACCATCATCAAGTGTCCGCATCTGTGCGTGGATGCTTCACGGAAGATCGATGCCGTGGTTCTTCTGCGTCGTCGGGTCTCTCAATGAAGAACTCGTGGTACCCTGCCCAGGTTGCACTCAGTGCAGAGGCTGTGTCCGTGAACATAGAAGTGGGTGCCAGAAGGTCGAATGCCTTCGCGTCACTTCCAACAGTTAAGTCAGAAACGCAAGTTGGGAGAAGTGCTCATCACTGTTTGCAGCCTTGAGCCGGCGTTGGTAATTCCACATTTCTTTGGTGGGGGCTAGGCTGTCAGCAGGGTTTCCACTGATGATTAAAAAATATTTCTGATTCTGACTTCGCACAAGGTGGTTACCCTGTTTATTGATCCAGAGGGATGATTTGCCTGCGCTGATCCATAAGCAGGATTAGGTTTTGAACTTTTAACCTTTCGATTGGTAGGCAAACACCCTGCCAACACTCAGAATGCAGATTTAACTTTCAACCAGTTGGCAATTTTAATAAACACTTGCACATCACTACTTAAAGGTCATCAATCTAATGCGGTCATCATATTGATTGCATCGTTCCCATGCACCGATATCCAAAAGAGCTGAAGCTGTTCCCTCCCCCCCCCCCCCCCCCCCCCCGTATGCATGAGTGAAGTCCAGCTCTCTGACTGCTACAATAACACGGACATTACTCCTGCCTCAAACACCGGTCTCTTAGCGCAGCAGTTGATCTCGTTACTCCATCAACGTGATGGAAGTAGCCCAGCCGAATGACAAACGTCGATTGACCTCTTTGAAACCCCCTTAAATTGTGTTTTTTTTGTGCACGGTTTCTCACCGCAGGCCCAAAAGCCCACAAACAAAGTCCTCTACGGCAGCCGTCCCCAACCTTTTTGGCACAAGGGATCGGTTTCGTGGAAGACAATTTTTTCACGGCGGGGGGGGGGTTCATCATTGGGTCTTTCTCCGTTTTCAAAGAAGCTCTCCAGCGACGTTTGTTTTTTACTCAGTTTGGCTACTAGGGTTAGTTTGTGGGCTTACCAACACTGTGACTGAGACGAGTGCGCAGTGCGGGAAAGAGGCGCGGACGGAAGTGGTAAATAATAAAATAATGGGGGTGGGCCACGCGCGGACTCACCACTCTCACCTCCTGCTGCTGTGCGGCCCGGTTCCTAACAGGCCGCGGACCGGTACCGGTCCGCGGCCCGGGGGTTGGGAACCCCTGCTCTACGAAATCCACATCCTTGCTCCCCAATGCCAGAACCAGAATATGTATTTATACTGCAGGAGGGATCGGATGAGCTATAAAGCTCTTTTTCACAGATGTTCGGTAGGAGGCACGGGATAAGAACGTTACAACAACAGACACGATACAGAAACACGATAGGAGTGCAAAGTACGGGACAGGTAAGCAAATAAAAAACAAAAAAAGACAATATAAACTAAACTCATTTTAATTTTTTTACCAGGTAAAGCTCACTTCGCTATGAGCTTCTTTTTCAGAAGCGACCTGGCCACAAACGATAGCTCAACTCAGTGGCTTCTCACGTGTGAATTTATAGCAGCCAAACAATAAAAAGCTTTCTGTGCTAAAGATGCAGGCCCGCAGCCTTCTGGCAATAACTCTGGACCGGTTTCAACACCGAGTTGCTCATCAGCAGGGTCACGCTTTGCTGAAACCGAAGCCGGCAATGTGCCAGATGTGTATAGGCAAGTGCCCTCTCTGTTAGATATGAATTTTGGTTTCCTCACCCGGCAAACCTCACCTTCAGTCCATCGCTAGAATGCAATCATGCGTTACGATGCTGCAAGGAGAACAGCCGGGTACATGAACCTATCCGTACATGTCCCTGATCTTGGATCGAGTTCCGTTTTGAGACGCATGTGGAGTACTGATTTAACTGCTGCAGGGATGGAAATGGAGATGATGCAGGAGATGAGATATAGAAACGTTTAATATAAAATATTGGAATGTCTTTGTGCATTACTTAGCAGTGGAACAGTGATTAGCACACTGCTCTCATCTGATTTAAATTCCTGGCCCGTGGCTAACATCAGCAGTGAGATCTGACACGCTTCTGTTGACCGCTTTACCAACCCACATTGACCAGAGGGGCGCCAAGGTGCGAGTTGTTAACTCCCTCGCCTGGTATGCAAGAGGTCGTGAGTTCGATCTCGACCCTGACTATGCCTGTTTACTTGGAGTTTGCATTTCCCTCTCCCCATGGTCAGCGTGGATCTTTCTCCGGGTCTTCCGGTTTTTCTCACTCCACATTTAGAATTAACACGCTTTTAGAGTATTTGGCTGCTATGAATTTTCACGCGATGAGCCACTTCGTTGAGCTATCATTTGTGGCTAGACCACTTCTGAAAAAGAGCTATATAGCTCAGTGGGCCTTATTACCTGATAAAATAAAAAAAAAAGTTAGTAAGAATCGTGAGTTCGTTTGGTGAAAAACTCCCACATTGGCACCCCACCTCGCATGAATCGGCCCCTAAATTCATGGCCATGGCTGGGAATAGAACTCGCCAGGCTCTCTCCCCCCACCTTTAAACAACCCCCGTGACCGACACAGTGTCAGAAGGCCTTCATCCAGCAGTGGAATGACAACGGCACCGTACATATTCCTTCGACGATTGTTCATAATCAGATGGGTATTAGCATTAATAGGGTTAATGTGTAATAATAGGGTTTTTCCCCTTTTTTCTGGCAACAAAACTGAAACCTTTTTATAAGGATTCATGTCTGCATTAACCACAATACCTGCAGTCAAAATGCAAACAAAAAACATACTATGATAATATATGCATTGTCCTTGAAACTGATTGGTCCACACCAATCAGTCCCTTGGTGTGGACCAATCAGTTTCAAGGACAATGCATATATTATCATAGTATGTTTTTTGTTTGCATTTTGACTGCAGATATTGTGGTTAAAGCAGACATGAATCCTTGTAAAAAGGTTTCAGTTTTGTTGCCAGAAAAAAGGGGAAAAACCTTATTATTACATTTTGGTACTGGCAAAGGAGGTCTAATGATGAGGGTTAATGTGATTAAGCAGAATTAGCAAACGGCCCTGTTGGGCAAGTTAAGCACCCGTATGTGATGGTGGGGGGGATCTGACTTGGCTGGAATGACTGCAGTCGGCTGTTGGTGACTGGGAGCTCAGATGCCACTCTCACTGTGAACTCTGTTGTCCAAGTACGAGCACGATAGTGGACTCGCTGTTCTCACTCCGTCTGGATGATTTACAAAGTAAATCATTTTGCGTGCGGTCAGAATGTCTCCCCGCTCAAACCGAGGGCGCGGGGACGGTGCCTCCTCGTCTCCATCGGCAGCAGCCACGATCAGTGGTGGCAATTCCACATTCCCATGGGAGGGGGCCAGTCTGCCCACCGGATGGACAATCGCTGTTGAATTCCCACAAAGCGGTACCTCACGTTCTCGACCCCTATTGAATGATGGGCTGAATTAATAAAAAAATAACAACTACGTAGAAATGTAAGATTCTAACGACCCACCAGCTGCACAATTTGATCAATCGATCTCGGGTCACGATTTAATCGAAGGGGTTGTTATGTTATCGTATATATATTGTTAACGTATACATTGTTAACGTATATATTGTTAACGTATATTGTTAACATATATATTGTTAACATATAAATTGTTAACGTATATATTGTTAACGTATACATTGTTAACGTATACATTGTTAACGTATACATTGTTAGCGTATATATTGTTAACGTATACATTGTTAACGTATACATTATTAACGTATACATTGTTAACGTATACCTTGTTAACGTATATATTGTTAACGTATATATTGTTAACGTATATATTGTTCACGTATATATTGTTAACGTATATATTGTTAACGTATATATTGTTAACGTATATATTGTTAACGTATATATTGTTAACGTATATATTGTTAACGTATATATTGTTAACGTAGAAATTGTTAACGTATATATTGTTAACGTATATATTGTTAACGTATATATTGTTAACGTATACATTGTTAACGTATACATTGTTAACGTATATATTGTTTGTTAACGTATATATTGTTAACGTATATATTGTTTGTGGCTCTGAAGTTCATACGAGACCGCCCAGAATTCCGCGGACCAATCGCGTACTGTGAGCTGTGGGCACCGCGGTGGCTAGGAGATGTTGACTACCTCGCCTGGTATACAGGAGGACATGGGTTCGATCCCGACCCTGATGCCTGCTGGTGTATATTTGGAGTTTGCGTGTCTTTCTCTCATCATCATCACGGTGGCTAGGAGATGTTGACTACCTCGCCTGGTATACAGGAGGACATTGGTTCGATCCCGACCCTGATGCCTGCTGGTGTATATTTGGAGTTTGCGTCTCTCTCCCAGTGGTTGCATGACTTTTTCTCCACATCCTCTG